TAATGTTTTAAATTCTGCAGCCTGGCAAATTAAATGAAAGCGATCGTCTCACACTTGTAAAAAAGTAGAAAGAACATTTTCTTGTATCAAGTACTTGATCTTAGCAATAACGTACACATTCACTGAGCCAATGTTGTATCTACTCTGTTACAATATTCTGAACTTCCAGACAGAAAGGGAGCACATTCCTGTGTGACTAAAGCAAACCACCAATTACAAGAAGCTCAGAGCTACACAGAGCTCCTGATGATAAACTAATGCTGATTGCTGTTTACCTAATTCAGTTCACCTGAGCTTTATTTATATAGCACCAATTCACAGCAGTTGTAAAGACCTACAATATTGAAAAGATCCCCTGTGAGTAAGCACTTGGCGATGATAGGAAGGAAAAACTCCCTTTTAACAAAAAGAGGCCTACAATACTGGGTCATAAGTTTATTATTAGTTCAGTTTATTAATTTTTATTTAAAAAAATCACTTTGGTCTAGCTTCAGTTAAACCTAACCACTCGGCTGGATTGCTTTAATGCACTTTATATAGGGTTCAGCACATCATATATTACCCATCTACAGAGGGTGCAAAATACCGCAGCTTGTCTTTTAACAGGCACTCTAAAGTTTGAGCACATTTCCCCTATTTTAGCTTCACTTCACTGGCTGCCCATTTCTTTTAGGATTCATTTTAAAATTATTTTATTTGCTTTTAAAGCTCTCCATGGCCTAGCCCCATATTACAGCCTTATACACCCACCCGCTCTCTCAGGTCAGCTGATCAACTGCTCCTGAATGTACCAGGACTGGGCGTAAACTTAGAGGAGATCGTGCTTTTGCTGTAGCAGCTCCCAAACTGTGGAACGAGCTTCCTTTAGAGATTAGACAGGCCACTTCCATACCTGTTTTAAAGTCACCCCTGAAAACCGACCTCTTTACCCTGGCCTTTGACACCACGTGAGATGTTGGTTTGTATTTTTTATTTTTATTTTAGTTGATTCTATGTTGTTTTATCTTGTTTTCTTTTTTTAATATAGGGCTATTTTAATTTTAAAGTGCTTTACAAATAAAATTGTATTGGATTCAGTTAGTTTCCAGATTTCTTCTTTAAGTTTTTTTTATTGTTTTTATTGAAAAACTAGTTTTAGTTCAGTTTATAAAATTGTGAAAGCTGTTGAATCAGTCATGTAGACATCCCAGCCTCAGACAAATGTACCAAAGCTTCAAACTCATTTATAGATCAAACCTGAACAAAAAGGCCAAACCTGTCAGGGTCCCTGTGCCTACCCGGTCGGCTCAGCATGGCTACATATGTTTTTATATTCTTCTTTTGTTCCTGCTCTCTCCCTCCCCCTCTTTCCCTCCTCCCTCTGCCTGGGCGGAGCTCACCTGTGGGCTCCTGCCCTTGGCCCACGCACCTGTGGTTCATCACGAGTGTTCCAGCTCCTTTATAAGATGGCAGCTCTGTGTTTCTCATTGCTGGACCATTGCCGACCCTCGTCAGTGTAACCCCAGCTCAGTTACTTCTAGAGTGTTTTCACAGCGATTTGCCTTATAATCCCTTCGTGTCTCTGTGTACAGATTCCCTGGACCAACCCCTGTGTTACCTGAGTGATTGGAGTGTGAAGAGGAGCGTGAGGAGTGGACGGAGTGTGTGTGTGTGACTTTTGGCGTCTTTCCCGTTCATGTGTGGACCCCCGGAGCCCGGCTTTCCCCTCGCTTTTGTAAATAATCACCTGGTGTATCATAATAAAGACTCTTGTGCTTTCAAGACCTAGAGCCTGCATGTGAGTCTGTTCAGTCCCGCTGTGACAAAACCTAAGTGCATTTATTATAAGTTTTATCTAAGTGTCATTTTACTTCAAGACATTCAAATATTTCATGTCTACTTTTTACTTTAGCTTTACCAAAAGACCTCAGCACAGAGTTGTGAATAATGACACTGAATGTTTCGAAGACTTTTCCATGCTGTACTTATTTCTTTCAACTGATGAGTAAGCTAAATGAATTAAGTGAAACCAAATTCACCAGAACTCATCACAACAATCAACAATAGTTTTTTTTGGGTAGACTCAATATGCAGCACTGGTGCACTGACACTGCATTTATATAGACTGAAGCAAAATTCAATAATGCCAACAATAGGAATTGTGAGCTACAGATCCTGAGCTACAGGGGAAAACAGTTTGTAACTCATTCAGAGCACACAGGATTCCTCTGCAGAGAAGAGACAATGATAAGGCAAATGTATTATCTGTATTATTTTGGGGTCTTTTCCTTACAATATAAAGTGCCTCGATGCAACTACTGTTGTGATGTGGTTCTATATAAGTAGAATTGAATTGTATTGAATGCATGATAGCTGATTATTCTGTAAATAGTTTTAAACAGTTGTACAAAAAAAAACCAACAACACCTGAGGCATTGGCTGAGGCATTTTTATGTAAAGTTGGAAATAACTTTCAAAAATGTGTGCAAAAACAAGGTATTTGACATTGCGAAAGAGCTAGTGTCAATAATATGGTGGCTCCCTGCAGAAGTTCAATGGCGACAATGGCGTTTCCTTTTCAAGTTGTCGAACCCAACTGACGACTTTCTTTTTGTAGTTGTTTGTGGGATCTCTCCTTAGGGCTTCATGGGTATTATTGTCACTGAGGAATGTAGTAATCTTGGTATAATAAGAACAAAAGTGCACCTTGCCATCGTCATGTGCAAGAAATCACCACTGACCTAAATATTTTTTTAACCTGTATTTAAACAGGTTATCCTATTAACACTCATTGTTTGTTTACTAGAGAAACCTTTTTCAGATAGTCAAAGGAGCTTGCAAAGAAAAGTGTCTGGACTTCTTTAAGTTGCTTGAAGACGTTTCACCTCTCATCCGAGAAGCTTCTTCAGTTATAAGGTCAAATGGTGGAGAGTCCCAGATTTAAACCTAGTGGGAGTTTCCCCCCACAGAGGGACATTCCTCGCTGCACTGTACAGGAATGCCCAGACCTCTAGATTGGAGAGACAAGCACATGGCACAACACAGAAGAGCCACCTCCACAGGACAAGACTCAGCAGTCCATCTGCATCTGAAGGATAAAGGACACTCTTTCAAGGATGCCAATGTTCACATTTTGGACAGAGAGGACAGATGGTTTGAAAGAGGAGTGAAAGAAGCCATCTATGTCCACTGTGAGCGACCATCTTTGAACAGAGGCGGGGGTTTACGACACCAACTGTCTGCCATCTATAATCCAGTTTTGAGTTATAGCTGGCCCACATCCTGGGCCATCTGACCTCAGGAATTCGCATGATAAGGTGGGGCCAGGTTTCACAATGAACACACCTGAAACCCTGGCTGATTGGGACCCACACCCAGTTTCACACCTTGGCTCAGGCGTTTAGAGGATCATCAGGGGGTCCTTTTGTCCCTCTGTGATACTCCCACTAGGTTTAAATCTGGGACTCTCCACCATTTGACCTTAGAACTGAAGAAGCTTCTCAGATGAGAGGTGAAACGTCTTCAAGCAACTTAAAGAAGTCCAGACGCTTTTCTTTCCAAGCTCCTTTGACTACGATGACCTGGGTGACTGAGAACCTTCACAGACACTTTTTCAGATAGGCATAATAAAATTCAAGCAATAAAGTAGAAGCAATAAAAAAGAAACATCAGAATCAGAACAACAGAATCAAATAGCGAAAACTGTCCGTTTACAAAATTATATTAAAATCAAGAACAAGTTCCCATTGAGGAATTCACAAAATCACTTACACATCTTTTAAACTCTGCAAACAAAATCAAGTGAAAGAGTTGCAAATCCTTCTGTATGAACTGACGGAATTGTGAGTGTAAAAAAAATTTGAGACCACAGATTATAACTGAATATGTAATCTGACAACAACTGTATAAACCAGAAATAGATTTAAAGATAAAGTGGTATAAGTCAGCCATTAATTTATAGATACAATCCCAGTGAATAGTCATATAGAGTGAGGGAACATCCTTTGTGATTCCAATGAAGACAAATCAGCTAGAGATTGTAAAGTACAGCGGTGTCTTAAAGGTTTACAGCCACTTCTAGATCCTAAATGCCCCACGATAAAGAGAGTCCAAGAGATAGAGAGAAGGAGCAGGGTTATTCATGCAAACTATATCACCATCGTCAAGGAGGAGTAAAGAGTTTTTTATGAGTTTCAATAGAAAAACCTTGAAAAGGTACAGTAGAGGGAAATACTGCCCATACTCTGCCATACTCTGTGTACTTGAACCACTATGACTTCTTTCCATTTAAAATGAGCCCGAGCTCATCAAAAGCTAATTGTAATTGTTGGAAAACCATGTTGGTGGTATGAGCACAAAAATAATTGTGTCATCTACATATAAATTATAAAATATATTTAGCTTTTGTCCCACACCCTTAACATTAATATCAAATAATGTAAGACAGATCACTCCAGTAGTGACATTTTAAAAACTCAAAGAGAGACCGTTAAACTGTGCGCACTGCTTGCAGTCAGAAAGGTAATTAGTAAACCAGCCTTCATCTGAAAGGCCTAGTTCCAATAACTTCTAGGAAAATGACAAGTCAGCAGTGTCAAGGGCTTTGACAGCTCAATAAAAAGAGTGGTGCAGTTTATAGTCAACATTTCACAGTGGCAAAGCTAATTTAACATGAATAAGATAACACTTCCTTCAGATTTTATTATTTTGATAACCTTATCTGGCATTTCATCACAATACCTGATTGATGCAACTGACTGGACACTCCCACTAAACTGAGTAAATAAAAAGAAATTGTAGGGGCAAGTTCTGACAGAACAGTTATTCTAAGAAACTTCCTCGTCTCATTTACAAAGGTAAGAGATGTTTTCACAGGATTTCAGTCAGAAATTGTGGGTCAAAAAAGGCATTTAGATAATGTCTTCAAATTCTTTTAATTGTGATGTCACAATTTTAACTGCTTACATTTCCAAATCAGTGCTAAGAGTGATTATAATTCTCCCCCTACCAGGATTTGAAAAATGGTGCAGTATAAAGTGACCGTATTCACTGGTGATCGCCTTAATTCCACTACTCTCAACAATGTCTACATTAAGCTGGTGGGCACAGATGGGGAGAGTGATCGCAAGTGGCTCATGGGCTTGAAAGGGGCTTCATCCTTCGTCAGAGGAGCTGTAAGTCTGGCCAACTCCATGATTTTTTCAGGTTCCCTATATGACATTATACATGCAAACTTTAAGGGAAATAAGGGAATTATTAACTGTGATTTATGTAAAGTTGAAATCTATCACCATGAAGATGGTCAAAGCAAACAGTTCACTTCATGGACCACAGTAAATTATAAGAGGAATTGTATGCTCGAGTGTTGAAGCTCAGCGCAAACTGCTATGTCATTTCTTTAGGTATCAAAGTTTAAGGTGTCCTGCTCCACTTCCCTTGGAAATCTTGTGCTGATAGAGTTAGACAAACAGTCTCTCCCACTGTTCCCAGAAGATGATTGGTTTTGTGCCAAGGTGGAAGTGAAATCCCCTGAAGGAGACATCTACAGCTTTCCCATCTACCGCTGGATCACCGATAGCAAGGTGCACCGCTTCAGGGATGGAAAAGGTTTGGGAAACTGTGCTCATCTTAAATCTTGTTCAAACCATTGCAGATGTAAAACAAAGTTTGTAATGAGGCTGAAGCAGTTTCCTAATACAGTATATACCATATTTACAAGAACAACTTGAAACCATTTTTTCTTAATTAGCTCTGAGAGTCTTTGAAGACAACCATCATCTTGGCAGGTACAGTCGGCAGCAAGAGATTCAGCAGCGAGAGGAAGACTATCGGTGAGAATTCAGAGCTTATACATATTTTGGCCTTACAGCTCCTGAAACTAGAATACAAATGCTGTCCAGTTATAGCTGAATATCCTAATACTAATGATATTTAATCTTAAAATGAAACATTACAATATATTGTTTGTCTGCTGGGATTAATTTAAAAATCCATTGCAAACTATATTATTCATATATTATGTTTTGTGAATTGAAACTGCAATTTCTTTTTCTCAGCTGGGATGCATATGCAGAGGGAATACCTCACTCCTTGAAGGCACAAAACCCAATTTTTTTGCCATCGGAGGTTCAGTTCTCCTTCACCAAAACTACAGAGTTTGTCTACACTGCTTCCACAGGGTGAAGTTCTTTTTTTTCTCTTTACCTATCAAAACTATAACTATGTTAAGTATAATAAAGAAATGAGATGAATGTGCTCTTCTGTTTCAGACTGACTGAGCTGAAGCTGAAGGGACTGGATAACCGTAAGGAGAAGTGGGATAATATTGACAGCATCAATCGAGTGTTTTGCTGCAAAAAGACTGAAATATCAGGTAACTAACATCATAGTTGGAGTATCGAGTACTTATACTTTGTGCATAATAATATGTACTTAACTGTTACCTTTGAAGTATTACTATATCAGTATACATAGTCGATTTTCCTGAATAATAAGAACATTATACAGTCTGTTCTGTAAAAACATATATATTATATATGTTTATAGCTATTGATTGATGTTTAAAACTGAGAATATAAAGTCTCATTTTATCTTATGACAGGTGATCTAACAAGTAGAATATGGTTTCAATATCTAATAAAGCTCACTAGAGAGAGCTTATGACTTTTTATACATTTCACATAATCAAGACTCTCAGACACTGAACTTCTGACACAAAGTTAGAAATGTAGCAAAATTTGTAGGCTAGTTTAAAAAAGGAACATATTATTTTTCTTTTTTTTTTGCAGAATATGTTCAGGAACACTGGAAAGAAGATGCTTTCTTTGGCTACCAGTTTCTAAATGGTGTCAACCCCATTTTGATCCAGTGTTGTACAACCCTGCCCAGTAACTTCCCTGTCACTGATGACATGGTCTTTCCCCGCAGTCGTTGCAACCTTGCAGATGAAATGAAGGTGACTGTAGACAGACACAAAAAAAGGAGAAAGAAATGTTTCTTAAATCAGCTACTTGGTCATTGCAATAAATGCACTTACACATTCACTGAATATACACACTGCTGAAATAACCTGAACTTTCAAACAGAAAGGGAACATATTCCTGTGTGACTACAAGCTTCTGGATGGAGTAAAAGCAAACACCATCAATGGGAAGAAGCAGTACTTGATGGCTCCTCTCGTCCTGCTCCACAAAGATCCTGACAATAAATTAATGCCGATTGCTATTCAGGTAATTCAGTTCAGATGAGCTTTATTTACATAGTAAAATATATATATATTTTCTAGGGTAAATATGAGAGGAAAATCCCAACAATCAGGCAATTCTTTGTGAGCAAGCACTTTGGCAACTGGAAAGGAAAACTCCCTTTTTAACAGGAAGAAACCTCTGTCAGAAGCCACCTGCCACAACCGGTTGGGAGTGAGGGGAGAGGGAGAAGGACAAAAGACATGCTGTAGAAGAAAAACAGATATTAAAAATAACTAATAATTTGACTTATCACTTGACCCTGTCCTTGTATAGCTGAAGCAGACTCCATCAGATGACAATCTAATCTTTCTTCCTACTGATTCTGAGTACGACTGGTTGATCGCCAAGATTTTTGTGAGAAGTGCAGATTTCAATCACCATCAGCTCAATGCTCACCTTCTGCGCACGCACTTGCTGGCCGAGGTTTTTGCAGTGTCACTGCTGCGCAACGTGCCCATGGTGCATCCTCTGTACAAGGTAACTGACGTTTGCTGAAACTCAGTGTTTTGGTTTGTAAATAATTTTAAATAACGTTGAAAGCATTTGAGTTTATCAATGTGTCCACAAAGGACATTTGATTGTGCAACAGCGTATCTCAGCATAATAAATGCCAAAGTTTTGCCCCAATCTAGCACTAACAGAGTTCCCTCTTTCCCTCAGCTCCTCAAACTTCACACACGCTACACTCTGCAGATCAACTTCTTAGCTCGACGCCTTCTCATTTCTGAGATTGGCGCTTTCACTCAGGTATGCAAAGAACAGCACACTCACTAGACCTTTACCTAAATAACTGTTTCTTTTTCAGTGTCATGTACAACATTTGTCTCTAACTGTGAGCTACCCATTCTCTAGTTTGCATCATCAGGTGGAGAGGGCATGTTTACAATCCTGAAGAGGTCAGTGTCCTCAATGACCTACAGCTCCCTCTGTATGCCAGATGACATTGCTGAACGTGGCCTAGAAGCTGTGCCAAACTTCTACTACAGGGATGATGGCCTAAAGGTTTGGGATATCATCCACAGGTATGGTAGTTTTGCCCTCTTAATGACGCCACCAAGCTGCTGCAGTTCTGTTATAACAATAATATTTTATTATTTGTTAGTTTATTATTTTTATTTTATTTATGTCATTTTACAATTCTGTTTTCCATCCATCCATCCATCTTCTTCCGCTTATCGGGGGCCGGGTCGCGGGGGCAGCATCCTAAGCAGAGAAGCCCAGACCTCCCTCTCCCCAGCTACCTCCTCCAGCTTGTCTGGGGGAACACCAAGGTGTTCCCAGGACAGCCAAGAGATATAATCTCTCCAGCGTGTCTTGGGTCTGCCCCTGGGCCTCCTCCCGGATTCTGGGAGTTGGCCCAGGACCGGGAACATTATTTTTTCAATTTGGTTTCCCAATAAAAGATCATTGAAAAAATGAACACAAGATTAACACACAAGAAAGAGATTAAAACAGGCGCTGTTGGAATGCTACTAAGCAAGTAACCCCAGTGGAAGGGTTACGTGACTAGGATGAGGGACCTATGGAATCTTCGATACCCAGCATCCAGATTGATGGCGAAACAACTTGGGGAATGTTTTCCAACATTCAGAAGATGGAACTGCTCAGACAGCTAGAGATTGACGAGGTACGACACAAAAGCTACGGCAAGGGGAAGCTAGGATGACAGGTCAAAAGGGAGATATCATCACCTCCACCTGAGATTGGGTGGGGGCCCCAAGTGCGATGGAAGAAGGATCATTGAGCACGAGAGGAACTGACCTGAGAGATAAGATCATGGCAAAGCTGGAAACCTGGATCCTTCATGGCTGGTTACTAAGACTATGTGAAGTACCCTCAGAAGATCTACTAGATCAGGGGTGTTGAACTCCAGGCCTCGAGGGGCAGTGTCCTGCATCACCAAGGCTGGAAACAGAGCAATAGTGGAAGAGCATATGGGAGAAGAACCCAACCCATAGCATCAATGCTCAGTGGCTAGTGGATCTAAGAGCAGACCACAGCAATCTCCGTGAACAGAGTCATTCAAGAAAGGGTCTCCAGTATGAAGAGTTGGACAGCACCAGGCCCTAACATGATTCACGCCTACTGGCTGAAGAAGCTGACTGCAGTCCATGAGTGTCTGACAGCACAAAAGAACCAGCTTCTAGTCGATGAGAGACACTGAAAATGGAAATACCAGAAGAGCAAAACACCAGCTACTGGTAGACAGAGCAGTCGCTTAAAACTGCAAGACTAGGCTGACCAACCTGTGCACTGCCTGGATTGGTTACAAGAAGGCCTATGACTCAATGCCCCACAACACTTCCTGTGGGGCATTCATCTATCTGCTGGTGGAATGTACCACAGGCAGATAGAGGAAGTGGCTGACATCCAGAAATCCTACCAGTGACTGGACAAAGCTGGAGTGAAAGACAACACAGAGACACTAATCTTGGCAGCACAGGAACAAGCTCCATAGAGGCTGGGGTCTATCACATCAGGCAAGACCCCAGTTGCATGCTGTGTAAAAATGCCCCTGAGATAATCCAGCACATAAGAGTAGACTGCAAGATGCTAGCTGTTAGGATGCCTGGGTCGTCGACCCAGGGCTTTTGAGTTATATTATTTATACTGTCTAGTTTTTTGGTTTCT